AAATATGTATAATTGACAGTCAGCTGTACACCTCCCTAATTACAATACTGAAATAGAGCACACATATTAAGATAGAATAATAATAGTATCTACATATACAAAGTAAATATTCACAATTATTATTATTATTATTATTATTATTATTAGTAGTAGTAGTAGTAGTAGTAGTAGTAGTAGTAGTAGTAGTAGTAGTAGTATTTAATTTTTAGTGATTTGGGTTATTCCGTTGTCAAAGGTTTGATTGAAATTTGATACGTTTCAGTTGGGATATGTAGATCCTGCTCGGATTACTTCAATATAGCCATTATGACACAATAATAATAATCACGACATTAAAAATAAAAATGGTAATAATAATAGTTATTATTATATATAATAGATGGAATGTGTTTATCAATAGAATACAGGAATTACATTCTGTTTCAATTGTATCGGCGTTATCTTTAGATGATCCACAAATACCAACCATCATTTAACAAATTTCAACCAACTTGTCAACAGTAAGATAATTCAAACTTATTAATAATGATATGAACATCATAGCTGTTGAAGAAGTTAGTGACTAACTGAACTCCGTTGATCGGTAGGTAGAGAGTTGTTTTTTAAAGGAAATGGCACTGGATTTGAGTCATGGAATGAACGTCACCTCTGGGATGCAGGCACATCCAGCTAAGTCCCAAATGGGATGAAATCTTCGTCTTGGTTTTCATTGCTAGCCACATTCTATCTATCCTATATTATTGTGAATACTATAACTAATTATTATTGTGTGTTACTGTATGTTTCATCATACCATTTAGGAAATTAAACCGACTATGGTCTTCGGTAATGCAAGTCTATCGATCCAAGTGTCTTCAAACTAACTTATAAACACCGGTTTCTTCCTTGTTCTCTGTGTAGAATGAGGACTCTATTAAACCATGAAATGTAGTTAAGACGTCTGTGACCAGCTATAAAACTTAATAAGGTCGATCGAACAATTAGTGAAGTAAATTCTTTATCTGCTGTACAATGTTATAGAAGGTTTTCTGATTGCTATAGTAGCTGTTGGATAGAAACTTACTTTAACAATATCAAACTAAATCATCTTTGATATTTCATCTTATATGAGTCATCCGTGTTAATGCTCGATGTTATTGATGTATCGCACTATTTTGTACTTATCCTTTTTGGCATAAACCCAACTCTACATAGAAAACACACCAGGACTTTCATGTTTCGTAGTATGTATGATATCACTTATAAAATGAGCCAGTGCTCAATAGTTCGAACATGTTTACATCAAAATATTTTGACATTCACTTCTAAATCACTACGTCACATTTTTATGAAACAACTTACATCCACAACAAACTATGGATATCGTCAGCATAATAAACACTTTTAAGCAAAGCCATTAAGTTCGTTTGTAGTGATAACGAAGAAAATTGAAATTACCACCTTTTTTATCTATACAAAATACAGGAATTTCTTTTCTCAGTATTTCAACTATTAAATTACATGTATATAAACTGAAATACTTTGCCCATTCATTCAAAAATGTACAAAATCACGCCCAGTTCTTGAAGTACTCAATATCAAGCTATGATGAATGAATTAAATCTAGAATATAATGATTGGATAATATGTACATTGGATAAAAGGATATTGATTATAGGTTTAAAAAGCAATAAATGATGCCATAATTTTAATAAAGATAATTTCATTTCCTAAAACCAATTAGATTACCATTCTATTGGTTATTGTTTTACAAATTCGAATCAAACTGTTTTTCTTTTACCAAAATTTCAAACTTTACTTTATACTCACATTTTATAGTTTTGGTGTTGTAACGTAAGCTTATAGAATATTTGTAACATTAGCAACACGGTAAGATAGAAACGACGTTTGATTTGAAATTATTGATTGGTTGGATCAATATGTTTAATTGGTCAGTTGTAGTTTGTTAGAAGTTAATATATCTTATGGATTGAACGATACTTTGTTATATCCTGGTCGTCGCTGATTGTTACGTCAGAATCGTTTATCACATATACTTGTAAAACGAGGAACCACTGTAATTCCCACGACGCGAAAGTAAGAATACAAAGACTGATACAAGTGAAGATTCATTATACGTGAAAATTATATTTGAAATAATCTCAGCGATTGAAATTTAAAATAATTCTAACGTTTCGTCCAGTAAACGTGTGTGGACTTCTTCAGGGTAATTATCAAAATCATCAAATAAATATATAGTGTTTAGCAATCAAATCAAATCTATTCTGTGTAGTCCAATCATATTTGGATGTTGACTTTAGTAAATAGGATAAAATGTGACAGTTAAATGTGAATCATGTGAAAAGTTCACGATGTGAAGATAAATGACTGAACGAATTTTATGTGTGCATGTATGTGTAAGATTGAGTTATCAGTAGTGCATAATAGGTGTTCATAAATCTATATATGAAGAAAAAATAAAAGTACAAGTTGAAGGTTGAAAAATTGTTTCTGATTCATTGATGTGCAGATTTATTAACCCCAAAACACGACGACGACCCTAGTCGAAAATACACTCATATATATATATATATATATATATATATATATATATATATATATATATATATATATATATATATATATTGATTTCTACACCTATTTTGATTGATAATTAGGATAAAATCACATATGAAAAATACCCAGATTTATAATAAATCATATACTGTATGTCATGTTAATTAAATACAAGAATGTCATATCTTGAATAGAACATCGCACTCAAATAAATTAATATTATACCGAATAAAATATCACACTGGAGTAATTATCTCATTGAATTAAAAACAGAAGTATTGTTGGACATAAATTATAATAATTAAATCACAACCTAATTTTCACTTTTCTTCTCGTCACATCAGAAGTTAATTGAGTTGAGAATATACGCTCATCGCATCGGGAGATTTACTCCAATGTCAATTTCAGCCAACTGATTGAGTTGTTCATTACATATTGTTTATTATTAGTCCAATTACTGTAATTTAAACATTTAACCCACTATGTAAAATTAGATGAGTCTGATTGAACGTATATCTGCATATCAATCTTTATCTTGTAGTGTCTGTGCTTCGTTAACCAATCACCCTCGTAACTGTTACCATATAATCCTCAACGGTGTTTGAAATCAGAAGGCAAAGAGAAGCAGCGACTACAGTTTTATTAGCAAATGACTCAGACCACAAAGCAGTGAGGCGATTGAGTGAGTCAACGAACCGAGAGTATATATATATATATATATATATATATATATATATAGGGAAATGAATGGATCATCGAATCAACTAAGCCGTTAGTAATAAAGCTAGCAGAATGAATATATACGTAGGCGGTAAACAATGTTCGAGCATACATATTTCATACAAGCACAACAATAATAAAGGTACAATAAGTTGTTATAGTACAGATGACTTTATCCGCTAAATAAGTTAACAAAAGGGCTTAACCGAATTAAATGAGAACAAACTCAATTGCACGTGAGTTGCTATAATCTATTCTCTCATTGGTTGTAAACACAACAATCAATAATTTATCCACAATCGATAAACACTTAGAATTAGATTTGGATTTTTTAACACTCACACTAGCTTCCCTGAATGCTTGCGGATTTTATCAATTATTAACAATAAACTATCTCTACAGCTGGTGTTCTGGTTATAATCTCGAGCGAATCCATAATACTATTAGGAAATCTAGCTTGAGTAAATACTCAGTCAACAGGATACCATTTATTGGAGTCAGCTAAAGAGGAAATTAGCCTCTACATTTGTCTTAATATGATATTTCTTATTGTCCTTATACTAATATTGTTAAATGTATTTAAAGACAGTATGCATCAGCTTGATTGTGTCTGTTTCGATAATCCTAATGAATATACTACTTTTAAGGTGGCTGAAGACTAAACAAAGTCAAGACAAGGTATCATTTTTGCTTTATTATCGAGACTCTTTTTGCGTTAAATTAGATTATCCATATATTGACCGCTAATTGTTCATCTTAATGTGGAGACTGAATTAGCATCGAACAATTTATCATATGTTCCTTATGAAAATTCCGCTTACAACTTCAATCTATAATAAGTTAAAAATATTGACCATTGCTTGTGGTTTTCAGCATTTCAAACCGACTAAAATTGTTTCCGTACTGTTCGAAATTCGTAATATTGTTATAATCATTCCTTGTTTATAGTTAAATTTATATAGAGAACAATGATAACATTATATTCTCCGATGAATCACCTATTAAGTGACTGAATTTGTAGTTCTGTCACAGTCACCTACATAATAAAAACTTGTGTTCCTGTGATAAAGTATAACACTAGATAATCAGTGAAAATGACAGAATTTCATATAATGTTCTTAATTGATCGCTCATTTATTATATTATTGACTTATTATGTCTCGTTTTATTACAATACATATGTGTAAATAATGTTGTTATAATTGGAATCATGAGTCAGTTGAAGCTAGACCACCATGGAAAACCCGAAAGCACTGGATGGCCGTTTCATCCTAGTATGGGACTCCTCGGCAGTGCGCATTCAGATCCCGCACCCCGCGAGATTCGAACCCAGGACCTAACCCGTGCCGGGTAGAAACAGGTCTCTACCTCAGTACAATGGAAGATGGTCGCGTAATTTCGTGGATTGGGTGAAGTTATTCATTAACAACATTGGATGCCGGCTCAGTGGTCTGGTTGGTTAAGCGCCTGGCGCGGAACTTATAGGTCCTGGGTTCGAATCTCGCGGGGGCCGGATCGTGGATGCGCACTGATGAGGAGTCCCATACTAGGATGAAATGGCCGTCCAGTGCTTCCAGGTTTTCCATGATGGTTTAGCTTCAATTGATTCATGATTTCAATTTGCTTATAATACTCATTTGATTCATGATATAGTTTTGAATAGACATAAATATATGTAAAGTCTCATAAATAAGTTGCTTCAATTATTCGTGAATAAACTATTTCATTTAAATAATTTATTCCACATTAACATAATACAATTCATCAATGTCACTATCAAAGACACAAATAATACAAAATACTTTGAAAGTTAGATTTTACAAAAAAAAACTGTTTAAATCTAAGGGTATAATGAAAAACTGATTGCAATCAATAGAAAACTAATTTAGATCACAGATTTTACGCTTAAGTAACAAGCAGTTTATTTCAATGCAACAATAAAGACTGTGAGGAGTGGATAAAAACAATAACAACAACAGCAAAAGTGTAAAATATACATCCCTGAGTAGTTAAGTTCCAATACAACTATACCAAATATAAAAAAATGTGTTAGTAATCATACAAAGATATCCCGCAATATGAATGAAATCAAAAAGGAGAACAACGACAACGTGTTTCATGTTTATCTAAGAAATTATATCAAAATACTTTCCCAATTTGAACAAATACTTCACATTCAATAAAGATTAATAACAGTAGTAAAATAATTGTAGTTAAGAGGAAAATGTTTCGCCAAAATTTAAATTTAAATAAAACAACAGTACAATAAAAAATAGATTTTAATCCTATAAATATAGTGATGAATAAACAATAAATAAATATAGTACAATAACGATTATACAATGGTAATACTGTATAAATAATAGATTTATTTTTATATATTTGTAATAAACCTATACCAGTTATATGAGGATACCCAGAACGATAAGTACATGATGGTACACCAATTGAAATTAATTCACCATATACTTTTGCATGATTGATAAGTGTATATTGATCTTTAATTTCTAATAATTTTAAACTATCATTTAATTTAAAACTAAATGGTTGTGATGATATACTTGATAATTGTGGCGTTTGAATCCATACAACATTTGATTGTGTATTATCAGAATTCTTAGTATTTTTCCAATGAATAATTTGACTCTAAATGAGATAAATAAAGAAAATATTGATAATTTCATGAAATAAATAAATAGTTCTAAGATTGATTTTATAACGAGTCAATACGGTATAATCATTCACTACCATTCATGTATCTAACCCCTAACTCAGATTTATTTCAAATCATAAGTTCATTTGGAAACCAAAAAAAAGTTGTGTTTTTTTCATTTCGTGGTGGAAGTAAATATATTTGTTGATGTTTTGATGTTCCACTGTATTTTCCTTCAACGTCATTGATGAGTAATTTTTTCACTAGAAAATAGAGTAATTTCTATGCTCTTAATTGTTATCACTACTTATTGATATCTAATTGAATGGATTGGATTGGTTGAAGTTAGACATTTACACCGTTGGATGCCGGCTCAGTGGTCCAGTAGGTTACGCGTTCACGCGCGAGACTGAAGGCCCTAAGTTTGATTCCAGCGAGCAGGATCATGAATGTGCACTGCTGAGGAGTCCCACAATATGACGAAACGGCCTCCCAATGCTTCCAGGTTTCCAACAGTGCTATAAAACCAATCGGTTCATGATCTCAATAAAAAATCTTCATTTGTCGTACTAAAAGAACACTTGCCTCAGTCTTCATGTTTCTCAAGTATAAAAATATGATAACAAAACATCAAAAATATGAATATAATCATTTACTAAAAATATACACAACTGATTGTATGGTGCATTCAGTTAATAAAATACATGTAATTGTACCACTCCTCAGAGATATTTTTCTATGGCTTATCAATTGTTAATTTACATAAAATGAACGATAATTCACTGTCATAGTTAGGAAATTCCAAATTGATAGATATTAAAACTATGATTATATTGATCGACTTTATTTCACTAACAATATTCTTTTTCACATTATCTGATTCGTATAACATGAATAGATAGTGTTTAGTGTACTGTCATATATACTAATGAAGTTTTAATATTAGGAATTATGGCATAATTCATATATATATATATATATATACTCATGTAGAAATTAACATTCCGACCATATGCCTGACGGTGATAAAGTTCTTAAATACTTAAGATGAATTCTTTGTAAAAACAAGCAGAATCAAAAGAAGAAAGTTTACTCATTTATTCATGAAACAATAATGATCTCGAATTACAGTTCCTTTCATAGCAAACAGTATCCTGCTTCATTATCTAACGACAGTTTCACATATTGTTAAGTATTTTTACTAATAAATTAGATAACAAATAAGATTCACATTTAAATATACTACAATGGAAACACATATATTGATTCCCACTTTTTGTAAAGTATGAATTAAATTAACTATCCATAAAATTTAAGAAAAAAAACGTTAGCATTCATCAATATCTAACCATAGCACTTAAATGGGAACCACAAAAAAAGATTAAGTTTACAAAATCCAGGCAATCACAACAGTTCCTAAATTAGTTAACATAATTGAATCATTAATATTTTCAGAAGGGGTTTTGTGGAGATTTTAGAAATTTCACTGGTTGAAGTCATGAGTCAATTGAAGCTAAACCATCGTGGAAAACCTGGAAGCAATAGACGGCCGTTTCGTCCTAGTATGGAACTCCTCGGCGGTGCGCATCCACGATCCTCCCGCGAGACTCGAACCCAGGACCTATAAGTTCCGCGCCAGGCGCTTAACCAACTAGACCACTGAGTCTGCATCCAACGGTGTTAAGGTCAAACTTCAATATTTGTTGATGTAATCACTCCATGATTAAATGACGAAACATTATTTCTCGACTGTCTTTGTCTTAAAATGAACTCATCTTAAATACTTAAGAGCATCAAAGCCCAAAGCTGAGGATGTCAAAACACTGACTAGTAGTGTCATTGCAATTTTGTCGGTCGAATCCTACTACCACTAAATGACTAAAGAAATATGACCATCAATTTTACTGAATATTATTACACATCATTTAAATATACAAATAGTAGCCGATTCACAATATATACTATAATTAAATGTTAGACGGAGTAACTCACTCTGTGAAGATGACCATGAATACTTAAAGAGGCATGTGCTTTAAGTAAACTCGAAGGGAACTGGACATATTCCTGAGAGATAACTGGAAAATGACTGATATACACATTAATTTCATCAGAATTTTCATTAGATATTTTAGGTCTGATTTCAGGCTCCCTATAATCCTTAAAAAGAAATTGTGAGAAATAATGATAGTTACTGAGTAGAAATTAACAAATTTATATTTGTAATCTCCATAGTTAACAGGTAGATTAGCAAAGAAACGGGTTAACGTTTTTTGTGTAATCAGATTTCCTTCACCACCGATATCATTATCTCCAGGTGTCAAAATGACCTACGACAAAATGAATTCAGTGAAAACTTGCATACAAATAAATCATTCTCAGAAAGAAATATCTTTCGAAAACGTGATGTTGCATGTATGAAATCTGAATTTAATGATATATCTCCTGTATCCAGGAGATCTCCCAAAAACATAACGCCATTAGGATTTGTTCGTTGTACAGCTTTTATGAAATAAAATCGAAGATAACTAGTATAGTATAGTAACTTTCAATTTACTCATCACTGTCAGCCTGTAGTATTTCATTGAAAATCCATAGATTCGAATGATAACCTTCAATATGGGAATCGGCTATGAGTAGAATCCTCACTTCATCTTCACTTGGTCTAAAATTATGAAAATATACAGTTTAGTAGCCAACTTCGTATGAGGCAGTCTCCATGCGTTCAATGAAATATACGGATGTATGATTTCACCGTAGATTAGACAAATTATTATAACACAGAATTGTAATACAGGGTATTGCAAATAGCGGGAACTTTTAATCTCCATGTCATAATAAGTGAGAAGTTTGTATTTTTAACCTCTAGTTGATTAATTTGAAAATTAGAAAATAAACCAACGTTACAATGTGATTGGATTACAGGAAAACTGATTTTTGTATGGCTATTCTCAACGAGCCAATCAGATTTCTAAGCTGAGACTGCTAAGGGTGAACGTTAGATTTCACCACTAAAAAACGTTGTCTGTTGTTTAGAGTGTGAGGGTTAATTTTTAGAATTCAACTTACTATAATACCTATTATTATTATTTATTATTATTAATTATTATTATTATTAGGTGGGAAACAGTATATAATAGTAATAATAATATATTCTGAAAATAACAATTGCGGAATTCATGCCAGTTAACAGACACGATCAACTTGACATAGATAGTAATGTTAAGTGTGGAGGACAGATATAATATTAGGTTGTTTGAAGGGTTCTAGTTCGAAATTTCCACGATTTTCACATATATTACAGGTATGAAAGGCGTTAGCCGAGAACTTCTATTTCTATTTGTCATAACTTGTGGCCTTGTGCCCTATTAATATATAAATTAATGATACCACCAATTAAAGAACAGTGACTTATCGACCGGACCGATGACGCAGTTTAGAGTTCTTGCTGGTCCTTCTTCCTGCCTAGCCCTACCTGTTGAGTCCAGAACTCCAATCTAAGCCTCTGCGATATAAATCATGTATTTCAAACATCCTGAGTTTATATTCAAGCCACATCTCACTACAAAATAGAAAACAACATTTGTACAAGATCTTGTGGTGTCGGTTACTATGTTAAGCCCATATAACTTATTCTATCTTCTGGATAAGCCAATTTATCCATTCTTCTTGAGTCACGTTTTGACCTTGTTAATTATTCACTTATCAATCTTGACTGTTTCTATATGAGCATATGTGTGTGTATATCTTATCCTACTCATCACATGTCTGTAGCTTATTTTGTGTAACTATAAACATTGATTAACTCTTGACTAAATGGAGTTATCTCACACGCCTTCTCCACTGCGCGTCGTTTCGCTTCGCTCTCTCCTATTCTCTTCATCCCTCTCATTTCCTGTCCAGATCAGTGAGTGTACAAGATATATGTATTGGGAAATCCATTCTCGTATTTGACTTATTTAATTCTGTTATTCACCAACGCGAATTAAGTCAATAATTGTATACGAGGATTGACGACATATATATTTCGATAGCAATCATTCAATGGCGATCAAAATATGGTCTAAATGAAGTCAGATCCCGGGCCAATAAAATCTAACCAAAAATGGCCGTGAATGTGTGAGACTGTGATTAATCGACTGGACATAACTCAAGAACGGTAAATCGTATAATAATAATCTATGGGTTAGAATAAAGCTTTTAATAAGAAGAACATGGTTATGTTTAGTTTAGCTACTTAATGATTATACAACAAAATATATGTATTATATTGGTCCATATTTCCATATTACCATTCATAATTCTCGTCGGGGTATAACATTATGTGAATGAACATCCTGTTGATGTATTTCAAGTCGTTTCCTGCGCCATCAGGGATTTATTATAATCATCTACAACCGGAGAAAATAAAACAGAAACAGGGTGCACGGAACAATAAAATCAATAGTTACTACGACTGGTAAATCAGGTCTACCATAATACATATGCCAGGTTATTTTGTGACATACTGTTCTTGTTAGATATTATTAAAATTAGTTGAGTTTACTTTGAACGGTGTTAAAGTATCAGCAGGTAAGAAGGTTTACTGAGTGGATTCTTAAGTAAAAGCTTCTAAACATTTGAATTCCCTATAATCACATTTGTGGAATGGGATGTACTTACTGGTGTAAGAACATTTGAACTTTTTTCAGAGAAGAAGAAAGCATTGATGCAGCGAACAAAGGATAGGACTGAATTTATTTCGCGGACAGATTGTGGTAAATTATCCCACGGTCTGGAAAAATTACTGATAAAGTAATTCATATGGAGAGAAGATTTAGAATGCGATTGTTTCACTAATGACAAAGAGTGATGTTTGAGTCCAAGTTTATTTCATGTGGACTTATAATTTAGGTCACAGTTAGTCCCAAGAATTCAAATGTAGATCATCTCTAAAAAGATTCCATCCTTAATTTATCATTTATGCGAACACTGCTAAGAATAAAAGTGGTATATTCTAGGAGTGGTCGAACATGAAAATACGTAACTTGTAAGTCTGTTTCAAGACCTGTTCTATGAACGAACTATTGTAGGGGTACCCAAGTCGGCTATCGTTTGTAGCTTAGATTACACCTTACCATTTGTAGTAAGATCTAAGTTGAGTGAAGTATATCCATCCATATTTAACCGTGTTAAGCCCCAACTCTCATTTTTGACACCACTGGACTACCTTGTTGAGTTCCATACAGAGAAAATTCTGTATATTGTTTATCTCATGAGGAGAAAGTGAATACACGACTTTGTGATACGCTGTTGGTGTTAGATATCATTCAAACTAGTTAAGGCTACAAGAGCCGGTGTTAGTGTAAAGTATCAGCACGTAAGGAGGTTTGCTTGGTGGATTCAGTAATAAAAACGATTAGACATTTAAAATTCCTATAATCTCACTAGTGGAGTGAGATATAATTACAGGTATAAGAACATTTAAAACATTTCCAGAGGAAAGACAAGCATCGATGCAGCGAACCTAGTAGTCTATCTTGCCCAACGGGAAAGATTTATCTTGAAAATTCAGTGTACAAGAATTGTTGGGAGCAACCATGAGACACGTTTGTTCCTTTCAGTCTATCTAATATCAGATCTGTTTACAACATGGTTGTGGTGGGTGTTTGTGTGCCAGTCGAGCGGAGTATATATCTTAGATTGAGAAAGTGGGGTTTTGACAAATAATCTATTGTTTGTATGTTTAGCTGAAATGAAGTGATTGAACAACCAATTCTTGTCTCTGTGCTCACACAACAATCTTTGTGATCATTGTAGTCCAACCTAGTGTCTGGGAATATGTGCTTGTTTGGCCGAGCCCTTGTAATATTTTGGTAATATTTTGGAACAAGACACTCCCGTATATACTTTCTTATAATGTAGTGTAGACTTTTTTTTTACTTAAACGGTGTTTTGAATAGCTCTCACGTAGAACTAGGCGTTTGTGTATGAGCTTCTAATGTTACATTGAGAGATATCAGATCAGAAGGCACATGATCTATACCTACATCGGGTTTACTTTGTTTATCTGAGATCACTACAGGCTTGAGAGCAAGTTAGTGTTCTTCATTGATAAATTAGTGTTGGCTGACAGACAATATGTTAGTCGCATGAGTTGGTCCTTTTGACGAGGCGACATGGTTCGTTGCAATTCCTACGTCATTATCTTGGTTTAAGGTACGCTTTTGCATTAGCCTTTGATTAATGGTTTTATCTGAGACTCAATGGGCATTCCTGAACTTCGAAAGTGCGCGGGATAGCCGTCCGGATTCCTTCAGTCATTCAATTGCTAAACGTGAGTCGAATCTAAGCAAGGTGGGGCACGAGAACTTCTGGTGCTTTTTGTTAAGATAAACACACTGAAATAGACTATCTTAAAGGCTAGCTGCATTCAGTATCGCATGCCTCAGTGATTTGAACGTTTTTTTAGGGCATTTCATAGATAAACACGTTATTTCTAGAAATCATTCACCTAGTAACTTCTCTGAAAATATAATTGATAGTAGGTGCTGCTTTAACAATGTTCTCATGCTCTACAGTAACCATGTTCTTCGACAATAGTAGCTTAAGGAGTGATAAAGCCCTTATTTCTTGCTTAATATCATCATGTATTGATGGAAGACTCACAAGTGACTACACGTTAGATCAAACTTCTTTTAATTACTCACTTTTTATATTATCAGTGCTAATGACTGTTGATGTGAAACTCGTTAGTAAGTTAGATACTGAGTTATCTATCGGCATGTGTGGCATAAGTTCGATAATGACACAATCAATAACAAAATAAGCTTTCGGGAATGGGGTCGGGGTAATAACATAGTTGCTATTATCCGAGGTATTAGGGTTTCCTCGGACTCGTGTTATATATCAGGATCAAATTGTAGCAGTAATTAGATCCTCAATTTAAATAGTTCTGTAAGTCCTCGACATTGAAGCTGACCGCATTAGTTTTATTGGACATGCCCTGGCTGAAGGCGCTCGGTCATGCATCCGCATCAGATCACGATTGGGTACACCACGCTTCGCAACCCTTGCAACTGATAGCTAGCTTAAACCAAACGCCTCTCGACATAGCGATAACTATCCGGATATTTCTTCAAACCCCATCATTCTCCACTTCTGACTTGAATGGATTGGTATACTCCGAATCTAAAGATGTTACGTGTTAAGGGGTTATCAAACTTTAAATACCCGTGGTATTTTTAGTGATGATTCCGACGTATACCAAATAATCAACTGTCTATTCTTTGTCGTAATACTACATATCATTCTTAGATTTCATAATATAACATATCGAGGTGTCAATTTTGCATTTTTGAACTCTTTCGCCTCCCACCTTACAACTGATGCCACTATGGCGCGACAATTTAGAGGCCTGGTTGTGATATGCAAGATCGGACTTCCACAAGCATGGTATGATAGACCTACGTTCACAATTCTTCGCAGTGGTGAGGGTACTACCTCGTGGTTTTAACAGGTACGTTACATCTAGTATGTTTACTAATGATGTTTTTGAACTTTACGATACCTTAAACATAGGCTATCACTAAACGTGGAGACTCAACCGATAGGTGAAGGTTAGACCAGATCTTCAACAATTTCAAGTTGCAATACAGATCAACAATATAAATGTTGATACACATGCGAAAGGTCACTGGTCAACGGATATTCTTCAAGTAATCCTCTGTAGTCTCGACAAATGGACTAAATTTTGCACTTCATTTCAGATAAACAACACATATCTGGGGCAGAATCCTTGTCCCTTTCCAAGAAATCAACCTTCTTAAACTCACCCAGCTTCAAAAAGAAGACACTGATCCTCAGCATGAGTTATCTTCCACAAACCTGAGATTACGGATCGAACAGATGCGATTAAGTATCGACAGCCTACCATGTGGCACATCTACAGTCAGGGATTGTCCAGTCCTGCTGATACATTATTGACACAACGTCTTCAATACATTGCACAAGCTTTCTAATCCAGCTCCTTGACCAACCATCGAGCGCATAACGAAATGATTTTGTTAGACTGATATGAATAACGATGCGAGGAAGTGGGCACTCTCTCGAGTGAGCTATCAGAGTTCTAAAGTGATTAGACACTGAGAATTTCTCCTAAGCTCTTTCAAAACTCCTGACGCTGATTTTAGCCATGTTCATCTTGATTTGTTAAGACCCTTACAAGATTCATATAGCTGT